GAGAGCGAGAGAGAGCGAGAGAGAAGCATAGTAGCATCTCATTGCAACTTGTGATTTTAGGCGAAGTTTCTGCGATGCCCTAGAGTCTGGTTTACGCATGATACCATCCAGGGTTTTACCGATTGCTGTGCACTTGTTTTACATAAAGAGAGTGCAGCAGAACATCTCGCCAAACTGTGATTTCGAGGTCCCCCCAAAAAAGTCCAAGGCCATCCTGTAGGTATTGGGTGTTGGGTCTCATGGGGCAACATGCCCAAATGAAATCACTCCTCCGCTCGAACCGTTGTCATTTGTCATCATTGGAGTATCCTTGTTTCTTGCTTTGGCCGATAGACGAGTGGATGAGACTGTACAAAGGCCTTTGAGCAGTCTGAAGAGCACGACATGTTAGAGGATGCGCGTGCAGTCTTTTCTACATCCTTCCATGTAATGACTGTGCTGACGGACAAACAGTGCCCCCAAAAAACATGTTAATTCGTTGCAAACGAAACCCACTCTCTGCCGGCAATTTCTTCATTGCTGGGGAAAGTCATGTTGCTCAGATGTATCTTATCTTATTCATCATCCTTTGATCCTTCTGGATGAGCAGCATACTTGAGGGGGGAAACTGTCTCTGAGAGTGTACATGCACCCTAGTTTGTTATCGCATGCTATATGGCTATGGCCTTAGCGTGCGGGTGGGCATTCTTGCCCGAGGGTCTTAGCCGACCCCTATGCCCGGGACAGAGAGGGAGAGAGAGAGAGAGAGAAGCACGAAAACCCCCTAGTCCCTAACCCTAACGAAAGAAAGAGAGAAGCACGATGTGAGTCGCTTTCAGTTCCAGCGCCTCCTTGTACGAGTCAGCTAGGCGACTATGCTGGTTCGACCTTCAAGCCAATGTGCCCGTGGCTCCATACAAGCTGCGAGGAGCCTCGGGGTCTCTTGGCATGCTCCAACTTGCGTATCCTGTAAATCATGTATTTCTCGGCGGTACGTGTGGGGTGGCGGGGCCCCTTCAAACGCCCTCCAGACTTGGCATGGCGCTGCACAATAATGCTGCACAAGTCCTTGTAGACTTCGGAAGGACTACGTGCGGAACAACCCGGAGGCATTCAGCTGCTTGGAACAGAAAGGTTGCTCTGGGAATGCGTGTGACTAGGCATGAGATTAGATCGGCGTCACAAGCCTGGATTGTGTGACGCAGAGGTGATGCTTTCTGGAGCATCAAGACTTTGGCGCCTTGGCAAATGAGGGGATTCAAGGCCTAACCGTTCTGACCGTTCTTAACCGCTTGGACTATGCAAATGCTTCCGTACTACCTGTGAACTTCACACGGTACGGGATCGTCACGTCACGCATAGGTTTTTTGCGGGAAACCGTAGATGTGAAACCACTAGCAGCATACAACCACGCAGTGATCTGACAGCCTTTCGTTTCATTGTCGTGCATGGCCGCAGAAGCGCAGGACGTCTACCAAAAGGTTGATGCAGCGACGTTAGCCGCCCCTCTTCGGCATTCTGCATCGATTGCTTGAGCAAGAAGAGAACGGGTCGCTTCTGTCAAGCCGCAGTTTCGCAAAGGGTGTGCGGTGGTTTTTGTACATTTTGTCCCGCGGACATGCTGAGCTTGCAAGGCGCAGGCACCGGTAGTGGTGAGTGATGCCACTGGCGGAGATATCGATGGAGCGCCGAACAGCAACAAGAGACCTGAGCTTGATTTTAGAAGTAAGACTCCTAGCATTTGGGCAGGTGCTCTTCGAGGGGCTGTTGAAGCCGTGAGGCCTTCGGGTCTAGCCGAGAAGCTGAGAACTCAAACTACTCGAAGCCAAAAGGTCTTTACAGGACAAGGCTAGAACAGTCGTGGAATTCTGCTGTTGTTCCTGCCACGACGATTCTCGCAGCTTCAGTTTACCGTTGCCACTGCACTGTTCAGGTGCGAGGAGTGCTGGCCTGTATCTGAAGCCTGCGAGACCGGACGCTCAGGACTGGCTTGGTCTCGTTCTTTGTCCTGGCTGCCTTGGCTGGAGCTTTCGTGTTTTTGTACTATCGGAATGCCTCGGTGAAGAGCCGCGTGGACGAGACTCTGCTGCGTATTGTGGGTGGCCCCGGGGTGATGAGCCACCAGATCCTGTAACTTTTTTTCTTGTTCCGGCTTGTGGTTAAATTGCACGAGGCTGAGGCTGGGGCTGGGGAGCTGGAATACCTGATCCTGAGAGGTGCAAACTGATTAAAGTTGGCTGCCACATCTCGTGAGCATTAGTCGGCCGAAGGTATCAAGCTTGACAGGTCAGCACAACAGCTGACAGCTCCTCTAACGGAACGACATTTACTCGAATGATCAAGCTTACGGAGGCAGAGCCGAGTGACAATCAGTACGGCTTCGGCATTTTTCGGTCGAGGTGACCATAAAGTATCCGAGTTCAAATAGCACTTTTGGCTAGCATCAGCGACCTGGACGCAACAAAAAAATCAGCACCGCATCCAAAAGATGCCCCAGTCAAAAGGTTATGTACCACAATGACCGACCTTGCAACCGGGGGCCACTTCAGACCAGTTAGTTGGGCCGTGCCAAAGAACTTCGCATGGCATGTTCGTGGGTGGATATCCCAGGAATATACGGGTCGCGTGCACCAACTCTGGCTGAACTGGCGAGATGAAGAGTCTGAGGAGGCCAGTAGGATGCATTGCTTCGCGTTTTGGGTTCAGGGCTTAAGTTAGGGGGAGCGCTCCCCTGGCCGCATGCGTTTGTCTGTTTCTTGGGGTCCTCCTTGCTTGAAACGAGCCTCTGCGTAGCATTGCGAGCTTGTGCAGCAGGAGTCGCCCAAGAAGGCAGCAGCGGCATCGCCCAAAAACGACAGCGGCTCGCTGACCCCTAGCCACCTGACTCATCTGGGCCATGACAGCACAAGGGGTGCATGCATGATACTTACGGTACAGCATCTTCTCGAAGGCCTTCGAGATCGCAAGCATAGTAAGCAAAAGGAGAAATTCGGTCCCGTCGAGCTTTTTCACATTCGAGTTTTCGCTGCCTTTCAGTTCGCGGCGTAAGGAGGAGGAAGAGCGCGCAACCTCGAGTTTGGCATGGAGCCGCCCAGCCCCGTGGACTGCAGCTGCTCTCTGGAACAGTCCCCAAGTTCACAGGAGCTTTTGTGGTTCAGGATTCGCCAGACGCCGAAACACAAGCCTCCTTCCACATTATTTTGCCTTTGACTCCTTGCTGACGACAGTTTTTCTGGAACTCACATCTTGTCGTCGCGTGCTTACAGAAGCGCTGCAACCCGAGAAGCCGGGAGTCAGATTTGAGGATGCCTTTATCTAAACACTGTTGTGTCAGGGACATGGTTCAGTCCCGGAGGCCTAGGAGAGCCTCCCATGTCTAACTGAGGTGTATCTCGATCCCCGAGTCGTCCGAGCGTGCCGCAGCAGATGCTGAGCGCTCAGTCGCTGTCGTCTTCGCACAGCGCTTTCCTACATCGTGGTTTTCCCGACCCCCGCCCTAAACCTCACGGTATCCAGTGGTTGGATGGTCTCATGCGGCACAACATCTGGTGGTCGTGCCCTCGTGCCGGCCATACCGTTCGTACCACCGGTCCCGGCTAATTAGTAGTTTGGTGTCTTGCTGCTGCCGTTCCTGTGACGCTGTGACCTGCATAGCTGTGAAGGATGGTCGTACCACCGGTCCCGGCTAATTAGTATTTTGGTGTCTTGCTGCTGCGAAGTTCCTGTGACGCTGTGACCGGCATAGCTGTGAAGGATGGCCGCCGTGAAGTCGATCGGCAGTGTTGTCCGCACGCCCTCCAGACCCTCCACTGCGTCAAAGGCGAGGATCGTAATTCTTAGTTGCGATTCAGAGTATGCGCACGCATCGTGTTGAAAGAACCTGTGTCTGTGATTCGTTGCTGGCGGGAGGATGCAAGTGGAGGCTTCGTGGCCAGGGCGCCGACAGGCAGGGATGCAAGCTAAGAAGCAACGTGGACAAGCGCATCAGTCTTGTCATTCGAGGTGGTAGCTTCCAGCGCGTGGCCACTGCGGGCAGCCCATCCGGCTCATTGCGTTTGCAGCATACCGCGGGCAGTCCGTCCGGTTCCTTGCGTTTGCAGCAGCATCTTGCCTAAATATGCTTGGGGTGAGCAGGCTCCTTGCTCTGCTTGAGGCCGCTCAGCTCAAGTCTGCTCTGTTGTGCGCGGTGCATTCTGAGCTTAAACTAGGGATAGGGCTTAGAGCTCGAGCCAAATCCAGCTTGGATCCAGAGTTTGAAGCAAAATGACCAGGAGGAATCTTTCCCAGTACTTCCTGTGACTTTGCGGAAGCTGCAATTCCATGAAGCACACCCCATAGGCACAATTGCTGAAGCGAGCAAAATGTGACGACGCCAACCCCTGTTGCCGTTTCAGTTCGCACAGCAAAGGCCCGTTGAGCCTCAGCAGCGCACCATCTTCTACAGCCACTGGGTCGGGGCTCAGTCACAGGTTTCAGAAGCACAGCGAAGTTACTACCCTGTCAAGGAGTCAGGAAGCCTCAGGTGCCACGAACATGATCGGTCGTCTTTCAAGCCTCGAAGTTCGTCTTCCTCGCTTCGTCTTTATCTGGGACGCCGCTGCTTTCGTGGTCCCGCTTCGCTGCTGCGACAGCGCTCGACTCCCTGCCAGGGAGCCCTGTAAACCGTCGTCCGACCTTTGCCGGCTTAACCAGTCGTCGTGGTGAGCATCGTCGGGAGGTGCCAGTGCGGTGCTTTCCTGTCATGAGTCAGGTACATCTGCAGAAGCCTTTAGGTGCATGAAAGCAGTGCTGCTTGTGGCCACTCAGGCTGAGTCGGGATCTCTCAGGAGCGATTCCGCAGCCACCGCTCACATCGCAAAACTCGAACTCACTGCCGCGCGGCTCATGCTTGTTGTTTGGGATCGTGAACTTCAGATCAGGGTGCCGAGTGCATCAACCCGGGATGCAGAAACGTTTATGCAGAACCAGCGCGGCACTTTGTCGATGCGGAAAGAAGTCAACAGATATCAATAGACGAAGAGTCAGAAATGACGAACGAAGAGGATTCTTCGTCATCTCTTTCAACGTAATGTGGTGCGCAAGCCCAATCACAGGTCGGGAGCTTTCGGAAAGGAAGCAGGAACCTGTTCTCTGCGAGTACGTGGAGTTGCAAACTTGATACAAGTCGTCTGTTTGATATCTTCCTAAACTTCATAGTGCAATCGCAGAAGAGAAAGGGGGTAGCCATCCTCCTCGGACCTACGTTTGCTTGGTTGATTTCTGAGTCTCTACTGGGTGTCGAATCCCGAGGCCCATGAGCCAACAGGCTGGAGCGGCAATACCTCGAAGTGGCATGTGGGTTGACCTTGATATTTGGCACGGGCGAATGCGTGTGGGTGTGCGTATGCGTGAATAGAGTTGTGTACGTGTGGCTGCATGTGTGACGGTGTGTGCCGGGGTGTGTGTGTGTGTGTCTCTGTCTGTCTGTCTGTCTGTCTGTCTGTCTGTCTTTCTGGCTGGCTGACTGGCTGGCTGTCTGGCTGGCTGCCTGTCTGGCTGTCTGGCTGTCAGGCTGTCTGGCTGTCTGGCTGTCTGGCTGGCTGGCTGTCTGGCTGTCTGGCTATCTGGCTGTTTGTCTGGCTGTCTGGCTGTCTGGCTGTCTGTCTGTCTGTCTGGCTGTGTGGCTGGCTGGCTGTCTGGCTGGCTGGCTGACTGGCTGGCTGGCTGTCTGTCTGTCTGTCTGTCTGTCTGTCAATCTGTCTGCGCCTGTCTGTGTCTGTCTCTGTCCGTCTCTGTCTGTCTCTGTCGGTGTCTGTCTGTGTCTGTCTGTGTTTGTTCTGTCTATGTCTGTCTGCCTGTCTGTGTCTGTCTGTCTTTGTCTGTCTGTCTTTGTCTGTCTGTCTCTTTCTGTCTGTCTNNGAACCACGTACCTGCAAATCAACACGGCAGGCCCCTGAGGTGCCAAGATTAGAAAAGGGACAGCCCCCCTTGTGGTGTCCAGATAATTTTTGCAGCAGCCGTCGCATGTGTGAAACAACGAAAAACAACCCCGCCTCACCCCTCTTCTCTGCTTTCCTCTTGCTCTTGCCGAAGTCCCACACGTGTGCAACATAGGGTCCCGGAGACCTGTTGGCAGCGGCTTTCCGTCATGGCGCCGTGGTGGCCCTGCGGGGTAGCTGGCCAGGAGCCAGGTTTCGGGCTGATTCTTCGGGCTGACCAGCACTCCCAGGCACCCACTCTATACCGGCTATCCGGAACTAATATGGGCAGCGGCACGCACGGATGGCGGCGTGTGCATCTGACATGAGGGCATGTGCAGTAACAGTGCGTCTTGTGAGTCTAGTGCACGTGCAGGTGCGCAGGATTACCTCCACCATTCTGTCCTTATTTTATCGCTTCTTTTCTCAGGGTATGCAAGTGCATGTGAGCCTGACATGAGCGCAGGGTGCAGGTTGATACTTCGGCATTGCACCGTCTTTCCCCCCCAGCAGCACAACAACCGCGGCAGCAGCAGAGCAACAACTGTCCCGTTGCCTTGTTTATTCGGGTTTATCGGGCCATTCCTCCCCGGCCGATACTGAAGTGATGCAGTCACTACGGGTGTAGGCCAACAGTGTAGGCCAGCACAACTTTGAGTGCCAGTGGCTTTGACCCATGTGGGGGTGAATGTGAAGGATAGCATTGTGGAGTCGGGTGATTCCGTCTGCCAGGTGGCGGTTGGTGTATGAATGGGATAGTGCATCCTTACGAGGAACCACGACTGTCTTGCTGAACCTACCCTGCCGTGAGCAGACAATAATTTTTTGGACAGGGGACGCGGCTCATGGTGAGGATGGGTGTGCTTGAAAGGTTTTGCTGAATGCCTTACTCTTGGGCGCTGGGAGCCTGAACTCCAACTGGAGCCCCGATGACGATGTCGGAGGGGCTGCGAAGGCGGGAGGCATGCCGCCTGACCCATGGCTGCACACCCCGGTCGCCATCCATCCATCCATCCATCCATCCGTTTATTCGGGTTTAAGTGCATGTGAGTCTGACATGAATGCAGGTGCAGTCACTTTTCGTCTAATGCACTACTCCTCCGAAAGCTTGAAGCCTGTCCCACTCTTTGTGGGGCTGTGTGTGTGTGTGTGCTTCCTGAGTACATGCGAAAACAAGGTCACTTCTACAGTTTGCAGGGGATGCTGAACACCTGAAGAGTGGGCATCTAACAAAGAGGCTTTTCAGAGTGTGCTGATATGGTTCCGGGACGCTGGAACCACGTACCTGCAAATCAACACTGCAGGCCCATGAGGTGCCAAGATTAGAAAAGGGACAGCCCCCCTTGTGGTGTCCAGATAATTTTTGCAGCAGCCATCGCATGTGTGAAACAACGAACAACAACCCCGCCTCACCCCTCTTCTCTGCTTTCCTCTTGCTCTTGCCGAAATCCCACAGGTGAGTGTGTGTGTGTGCGCGTGTGTCTGTGTTTGTTCGAAGCAGTTCCGACTTGGATACATACATACATACATACACCTATTCATCCACACATCCATGCATGCATGCATGCATACATTCATGTCTCTGAGTCTCTGTCGGTTCGTTCTCTCTCTCTCTCTCTCTCTCTCTCTCTTCAGGGCCTCTCGTTGTCCCAATTAGTCGATCCTAGCCGCTCTTAGCCGCGCGTACATGGATTGAGGCCCGCTAAATCTCGTTATGACTTGCAGAGATGTTATCATCGAAATACGCCGTTCGAAGTCGTGCAATTAACTGTCCCTCGAAGTAGACGGTCTTGCTTTGAAGGCTTGAATGCTTCGGATAGCCACGCAGTATTTCATTGAGCGCGGCAAAGTTTGAGATGACATTCGTGTTCAGTGCCTTCTGAATGTCCCTGGTCAGGGGTCGATTCACTCGCGAGGTTCTTATCCCGGGCAGGCAGGGAGGACTAATCTCACAAAGTGGAGCAATCGGTCACAGTTCCGGTTGCATCTGCATTTGTGATTTTGTTTGTCTCTGAAGCAATTCGCAGGCCTTAAACTCGAATTCATCGCTGCCTCCGACAATCCACTACTTGCAGGCTGTACCGCGTCTCGGCTGGGTCGATCTAGGTCTCAGAGCTAGACTCAGCTGGATGCTCTTAGATGCTAGTGACAGGCTCCCTCATTGACCGTATACCGTTGTCGGCACACAAACTCGCCCAGGTTTGCATTGCTGTTTGAGGGCTGCAGGCTGTATGGCGGCGGGATAGGGGAACCTTCATCCTCAATGCTTCCTGAGAGTTGTGAGAGTGCAATGCTTCCTGATCTTCCCCTTCTCTGCGGAATGGTCTCGAGACATCTCGAGTCTGTGGACTTATCTGATGTGCTTCCGCAAGAAGCCTCGGCCAGACCCTAGGACCTGCAAGGAAGTGTCCAATTGGTTTGCCGACTGACGCCCAGGCCGAGGAGAGCGACATGAGGGCACAGAGATGGTCTGATCACACGCAGCGGCAGTCGCGACACCGAATGTTGGCCAATGAAGGGCCTGGGCGATCCTTGGCGGGCGCACCTTCATCCACTGAGTGCCTCTAGTCCCAGAGCCGCCGTTTCCACTCGGCAGCTGCACGCCGGGATTCCGCCAGTGGTGTCGCTCGAATATCGAGAATTCCTATGCATGTCCTAATCAAAACATTCGCGTGCACCTGGCACGCGCGATAGCTTGCTACAAGGTGATGTTGCTCAAGTGAATCCTGAAATCCCAACGGGGCATCGTGCGAACGTTGTTCTCAAAGATTCTTTGCGTTATCTCTCTCCGGGCCTTGCAGCTCAAACGCATGGCCGGAACTTGGTTCCAAAGAGATCCCAGGTTCCGGTGCTACGACACCGCTTTTTGAGAGGAATGCTCGTATTCCGCTGACAGCCCTCTGAAAGAGCTTGGCACTACATTTTAATAGCACTAGATGACTGCGAGGCAGTTTCACTCGATGGTTGGCCTAGCTGCAACCACGCATCGGACGGGTGTAGTGATCACTGGGGGCCGGGAATCTGTAACAGTACATATTTCTGTGACGAGTATTCGGCGCTGCTGGTGACCCATAGGACGTGACTCGTACTGACATCCTCGAACCCTGTGCGGACGGTGTATCTCATTGACCACGTGCTCGTCACAATTTCTTGCTGGCAAAGGTGTGGCAAGGGTTTCTTGCAAGCTCTGCCGCGACATGTTTCGGCGTGCTCGGTCGCACGGACAACAGCTTGAAAAGGGTTATGGTGGCGAGCCGATGACGAACATGTGCATCCCAGCGAATCCTGAGGCATTGTCATGACAACTTCAGTTCTTGTATGAGGTTGACTTGAAAACATTCTTCCAATCTTTGTGGTGGTCATGACTCGCAACCTGATGCAAATCATGTAGCATGTAGAGCCGAAAGCAATAGATCTTTCGTGTCTTCTCCCTGCAGCACGAGATTCTATTGGAACGCAGGTCGCACTCTGGAGCCTAGGGTTTGGCTCAGAATTTGGCAAAGACCAAATTAAGTGCAAAAGAAGGATGCATGCCGCTCCAAGAACGACCGCGGCAGGCGCCTAATTAGCTGCAAAATGCACTATCTGTCAGGATTTAGGATGTAGACCGATGGGACCCATTTCTCTTAGCATCACGGTCATTCGTCGTTCTGTCATCTCTGCTTCAAACTAAGCCATTCGAGTGGTGGCCTCCCGATTCCTCAACGCTTCCCACATATGTCCTGCCCTGCAGTCGCCGTGGTGCTCGCCGTCTGGCGACCTGTCCATGGTTTGGTGAACGAGCCAGGGCCCCAGAGAAGTCTGCATCTGCACCTAGAACTAAGTCTGCCGACTTTCCAGGTACCAGAGATCGGAGTCGTACATGGGGCAGGACTTCTTTGGCCACTTCACCTTCTACACAGGTGCAGATCCGACCCATGGCACAGAGTCTTGGCCCAACAGAGCTACTGCTAGCTGCTAGCTTTGCATGTGAAAAGATGCCGTTCCATGTTCGAGGTCAAGTTTCTCGACGAAGCAGCAGCCTGGAACGAGAAACTCTTATCCATTTCCGATGCGACTTGGAGGTAAGAGTCACGCGTCAGGGATGCCATAGCTGGGCTGCAAGCAGTTGTAGGAAGCCTGCATGATGAGAATGCTGCGCGGATTATTCCAGCGATTCTGAGAAGGGTGCATGTGCTTGACCTGAAGTGGGCGGTTGGTAGTTGTTGCCGAGCCGAGTCGCGCGTCCTCATTCGCAGCGATAACACGACCGTGGTGCCAGAGGGCGAGGGCCGAAAGGCTTTGAGAATCGAGTCGAAGACCAGCGCCCCGACATGGAGTGGAGGGGAGCTCGGGGAGCCTGGAGGGGAGGGGACCTGTCCTTGTCCTGGCCTGGCCTTTCAAATCGCAAACAGGATACAATAGCGGCCTCTTCGTGTTGCAGATGGATCATGTGCCGACCGCCTGTGGGGCCTGGCCGGCCTTCTGGATGTTCGGAGCCGCCTCGATACAGAATGAGGCTGTTTTTTCTCATGACGGGATCATCAAAAAGGCTTCAGAACTTCTTAGGCGGTCCTTGGCCTTCGGCCCTTATCATCTCGGGACTCTGGACGTGAGTCCTTCCAGAAGCTGCGTCTTGGATTCCCAGACATGCCGCCTTTGTCATTTTTAAGGACGATGCGCAGCATGTGTGGCCTCGATGGGGCGAGTTCGACATATGGGAGGCAATCCACACCCAGAATGCTGCATCCCGGAACGGACGGACACGTGTATGTAGTCGCAGCTGTCAGAATTACGATGTGCTGGTCTGGGGAACACCAAGCTATCCGAGGCAACTACAACTCTGCACACGCGTGAGAACTGCGATCAGTGCCTGCCTTGGCCAGAACATTCATGCAACAGGCATGACCTCTTGCGGCTTGTATGTCCGGATGCACAGGGGTCGCATAACCCTTGTGCCGTGCACGTTGCCTTGTCTGCCTGAGGCGAGCCGTGAATGAAGGCATCGATTTTCAAGGTCAGGGTTGGGCTGTCGGCACTCAAAGCAACAAAGCGAAGAACTGCTGGGCTGCGCAGCTGCAAATGTGAGGGTTTTGTGTGAGCCTGGTTTGCGAGGCTGCTCCTGCAGAGACAACAACAAAAAGCCACTAAGCATGCTTGTGTGGCTCGTTCTTAGCACTGTCGCAGTAGATACAGAGAACGCAGGTCGCGACAACATTCCCCAATTCGCATGAGATCCCGGGCACCCTAGCATGACATCAGAATACCCGGGCTGTACGTTTATGGAATATGTCTTCTGCAAGGTTTGTCCTTAGTTCTGTGAAGATACTGCGTGACAGTGGCTACCGAGATCCTTACGTAGACAGCATCAATTTCACGTAGTCACGAACGGGCAGGGGGAATTGCTTGTACGCCGGCTGTAGTGCTTACTCCGCTCCGTCGCATGAACACTGCAAGCCAGCGCAGACAGTGAGTGCTCTTACTGAAGGATTCGGTGGGCTCGGTTTCCTCCAATCATGGGGCAGAGCATGTCTGGAGCACTCACAGACTAGATTGCCACGAAAATGTTTGAGTCACATCCGTGTCATGTTAACTGCGGCGATGTAGTGGTCATCCGAGGTCCATGCAAATGCAGAATATGACAACCAGGGATGTGGACAGAAGCTTCAGGATGGATCTGCGGGTCCGAAGTTCAACGTCCAAGGAGGCCAAGCGGCATGAGCAGTTCGCTGGCAGCGCACCGAACTAGCATCTGCCAGCAAGACTCACCACGACAGGTGGCACATTTATTGCGGAATGGGATCCCGTGGTGCCTCGGAGGGCGAGAACACAAACGATTTTTAGCCAAAGAGGTACCGGTCGCTAGCGCCTAGCGTGATGGTCGGGAGGTTCTGCTGAAGCACGATCAGGCCACCATGCCATTGCAAACCCGAGGTAAACAAGCGCCTCCGCACGTGGTTCTTTCCCACCGGACAGGAGCCTGCACGGCACTTCCATGGAGATCCGTTCGGCGAGAGCCCCCGATGAGGAATTGTAGTCAGAGCAGTCTCAGAGCAGGAGCCCCCGCTTGGTGACAACCCCAACCCGGATACCTTCGGCATGCCCAATTCGTTCTTCACTTTGAACGAAAAATGGCCACGCCCCCGGTCCTCTATCTGTCCCCTGAGCTGGAGGCGATCACGTCTCAATCAATGTAGTGTGCTTCGTTGATCTAGGTGTTCATCCGGGCACTTCCACAACATGCGGATGGCCCCTTGACATACCCTTTAATTCGACCGCTTTGTACCGGCATTTGGTTTGCTGCAGCTGTGAGCTTTGTTTTGAATTATCCGAGGTGTTCGACGTTACATTCTGCGGTGACCTGCCTGGTAGTGGGATGCATGCCCACAGCACATGCAATCGTTCCCCTGCACGCTTTTCTTCGGGCACTCCACATGGAGTCACCATGCAAAGCTAAGGTGATTACGCCGGTGGGACTTTCCACTCAAGTTGTCCGGAAATTCAGATGTCCTGCGCAGAGTATGTGCGATCAAAGCCAAGCGCATTCAGCAACTTGGCTGGCACTGGGCAAGTTGACAGCATGGGACCCATAGGCCTGGGACGAGTCTCTGAAAGCTTGCGGTCAGGCGAAGCTTTCTGGAGCATCCGGCGCTTGGCTGCCTGCTTGCATATAGCATGACAGCACATCCCTCGGGGGCATCGTGCAGTCCGCCCCTGGTTTCAGCAGCCTCAAGCTACCACGAGGGGCTGGCTGCGTTTGTGCGTCGGAAGAATGCAACTGAGGATGTCTACCACAGCAAAGCTGTCGCGACCTCATTCAGCCCTCCGGGGCCATGCGGTGCAACTCCATCAACCGTCTGTGCTGATGCCTGCATAGACTTCTGCCACGCCTGAGGAAATGAGGGAACTCTGTGCGAAGTCCACTTGTGGAGCAAGTGGGTGCTTCCTCTGAGGTCCAAGCCCTCGCAAATCATGATCAGCAGGGCACCGCTTGGCGACTTGGTGGCAGCCCGGTGTGTACCACTGAAACGGAAGCTTGCGGAGCATGCATGCCGCACGATATGCTGCCATGGAGTTTTACACTCCAAACACCAACATAGCCATGCACCATGCCTTGGCAGTCCAAGCAGTGTCTTGAAGTGGGATGAGTCAGCTTCTTCGCCTCTTCATCACTCCGAGGACCGCAATCCTGGCCAGCCTTGCTGCTGCAGTGCTGCTTAGTGTTGTCCTCTACTATTACTGCAGCCGCCAGCGTGTGGTTGCCATCGGACAAGTCACCTGGACGAGAATGGCATGCATAATTTGCAGCGTAGAATGTGTGCATGTGTGTGCAACCTGTGCCTAGACAAGTGCATGCTGGGATGCGGACACTCGCCTGTGCATGCACATGTCTGGCTGCTGCTTTGATGTTGTAGCCTTTGTAAATTTGTGGTATATCTTTCAGATATACAGACAGACAGCCAGGCAGACAGGCAGGCAGACAGAAAGGCAGACAGACAAAAGTGCGCTGGCCTTGCTGCTCAATCACAGCCGCGTGAACATCGCGCCAAGTTGTGAAATGCGCGCAGAAGTGTCGCCTGGCTCCTTTTGCCTCCGATGGTTGTTCGATCATAGGATCTTGCTTTCAATCCTCTGAAGATTCTTAACTCGATACTTCCCAGCGTGTGACGAGCTGTACCGTATCCTGCAGGTCGGGGATTCGTTGCCATCCCTGTCGCCCCTGAAAAACTGCACTCAACCCAGATTAACTAAGGCTGCAAGTGCGGGGTGGGGGCTGGGGGTGCTGATGCCTAGAGGCCTAGAGGCAGCGAAGCTCTCACACAGTGTTCGCATCAGCTTTGCAAGTCAAGGCAGTATCTGCGTGCATGCGCTGCGATGTGTGATGTCTGCGATGACTTCAAGCTTGAGATCTTTTCCGGTCAGTTTTGGGTGTGGGCACTTCGTGAGCGGCGAAGCATAGCCAGTACCATCGTGTTCCCGCTCATCTTGTTTAGCATGCCAGGGATCTAAACTGCACATTGCGTCAAACAGCTTTGAGGCCACTCGTCTGTGAGATGAAAGCCTCAGTTCAAACAAGAAGCAGTCAGAGGCCCGAGGCTGGCCAGCAACGGCGCGAGGGTTTGTCGAACCCGCTGTTGCATGTATTTGCACCGAAGCTTCAGGCCTCGCCATTGCCAGAGTTCCGGGTTTCTTTCCCGGCTTTGTTTGGCTACGGTGAAGTAACTCGGAGGGGAAGTCCAACACGCGCCATTGCCGACCGAATTGCCTCAACCTCATTTTCAGACCTCAGCCTCTAGAAAATGGACAACTTACATTCATTCGTCCGTTAAGCTGCGGCCGTTCTAGACCGATGCCGTCGCAACAACTACCGGACTGTTGGCGCAGGAAAGCGTCAGGGCTTCATTCTCCGTTCGCCAAAGCACGGAGTTCGCAACACAAGAGCCATGTAGCTTTCTCCAGATTTTTCGAGATCTCCGTTTAAGTTCGTCGCATCAGGCAATTCATGCCTTACTAGTAGCATCTTCTTCGCCAGTAGTAAAACACTGGGAATGCTTGACAATCTTGGGAGGGTGTTCACGAGAATGCTGCTACCTGTATCGACCAAAATTACGCCTCGGGGGCATGCACGAATCCCATATATTGTCGACCGGGTCGACCCGAGCGACGAGCGACTTCATGTGATATGATGAAGTGCTAAGTGGCTTGAGTCGTCGTACTGAGACTTATGCGGAAGCGTGCATTGCTTTTCAATTTCTTGTCCACATATTGGGGAATTGCGAATGGAAAAGTCTCCCATCCCCAGCGACATCTATGATCTGGGCATTATATCTTCATGCTGGCCTTTCTCTCTACCTCCCTCGTTTCATCCTTTTCTATTTATACACAGCTGTATACGCAGAACATATGCATAAATTCATGAATACATACATACAGTACACCGTACACACACAGATATATATATATATATACATACATACTTACATACATACATACGCACATACGTACCTACGTACATACGTACATACATACATATATACACATAAATACATGAATACACAGATACACACATGTACATGTATGTATGTATGTATGTATGTATGTATGTATGTATGTATGTATGTGTGTATATTATATATACACACATGCACAAGTCGATATGTATTTCAGTTATGACTCTTCAATCTCTTGCTCTGTCAGTCCTGGAGCCCAGGCCTTGACAGCGCCCATGAAATCGGACAACAAGCTCCAGCTCCCTATAAACAAGGCACCTCGCGAGCTCACGAGCTCCGGCGTCGTTGCGGTCGTTTGGGTGACTGCAGCGGCGAGCGAGAACAATGACGCCCTCGTTCGTCATGCCTTCATTTCTCCCGTGTGATGACCGGAAGCAAGTGCTTTATGACTTCCGATGCTACCCTATCGTCCTGCAGGCGACGAGATCCGGTGCTGGAGGGCTGGTCACAAGAATCTCGGCTGCCTGCGCGTTTCCCGCTTAATTTGATTTTTTGAGGGCACGGCCGCATTGGAGAGTGCGCTTCTTCATCCTCGGTTGAGTTCAGGTCCAGTCTCGCGCCGAGTGGCTTGCCAGCATGTTGGAGCAATTGTGAAGACCGTGCTCAGTGTCAGAAAACATGCTTAGAGAGTGCATTCACAGGCAGGTCTGTCATGTGTGCAAGTATACCAGTCTGTGTGCATATTTGTGTGGGCATTTGTGTATGTGTGATTGTATTTGTGCAGGTGAATTCGGATATGTGTGCAGGTAGGTATGTATGCATTCATTCACGCAGTGTCCTTGTACGTCTACATGCGCAGTGTAGACAGTAGATGGACAAACGACCAAACGTACGTACATACATACATACATACATACAGGTATACGGGTATACAGACAGTGTGGGCATACATGCATGCATGTGTACATACGCACACACACACACACGCACATGCACACGCACGCGCACGCGCGCGCACGCACCCACCCACACCGACAGAGACACACACACACACACACGCACACACACACACACACACAAAACCGCACACACACGCACACAGCCACAAAATATGCCCGTATAACATCCTCTGATTAATCCTTTTCCCCTGTTTGCATTGCCATGCAGATGTGCATTGCAACCACCTCGTCTTGTGTCCAAGGAGGTGTACCTTGAGAGCGAAGCGGGTGGCAATGTGGCTGAACCGGAAGTGGAGCCAGCACCACCAGGCCTGAAGATTCAGGTTCAGATCGCTGCTGGCCTGGCTTTGTCCTCGATCTTGCTTGTGGGGTTGCAAGGCTTGTCCTGGCGTCGGCTGTGGCTGATGCCCCGAAGCTGGAGAAGCACCAGTCTTTTATGTCATCATATTGACACATGGAGCTTGTCCTTACATGTTGAGCGTAACTGGAAAGCTAGAAACCTGGTTGGCGCTCTTTTTGGAGAAAGCCACTGATCGCCGCATATCAGCACTGGGTGGACCAGTAACTTGCTGAAAGCCGCTTTGAACAAGGTTCTGCTGCGCCAACGAAGACAAGCGGACTCCAAACAAGGCAGGGTCACATGTTTCGTGCAAGCTCACTAATGTGTGAAACAAGTTGTGTTAACTAGTTGGGGCCAACCGGCATGGCGATCCGATGCCCGCTCCATCCTTGATGCTGTTTAGGCTTTGTGCTGCTGTTAGCTCTACGGGCAGTGTCTTTGCGTGAAACGTCATTCTCGCAACCTCGCTGAGATGTTCGTGAAGGAATGCGAGGTTCTTCGAGCTGCAAGCTCGAACCTTCAATCCAACTCCGAGTAGTTACGTCGTTTGATCACCTACTTCGTTCACGAGTTACCGGCAGTCCTTTGCATATCGGGCGCTTAAAGGGAGTGTGCCGTGCCTACTTTGAGAGTGATGGACGAATCTCATGTATGGTGAGACGCGGGATGTTCAAGTGATGCTTGCATGAAGACCCACAACCCTGGACTCTCTGACCCTCGCACTCTGGATTAGGGTTGGCTTCGAAAGGTTTGGACCATGGATGCAGCGAGCAGTTGAACCGGCATTGTTCACACTCACGAGTTAGGATGGGCAACAAAAACCGACGAGGTAATATTAGAGAGGTAGATCCACGCTACTTCGCTCTGCGGGTTTCCAGCTACCCTTCCAAAGACTTAGGCAGACCCCTATCGCCTAGCCGCCAAAGATGTAAAGTGGAAATCTCGCACAGCTGACCTGTGCCAGGCGCAGGGTGGCACGCGACCCATCGGCAACGCTCGCGACGTTTTGGATTTGACAGGGGAGGGAGAAGGGGGTGCCTTGTGTTGAACTTCGCGTTGAAGCTGCGACACCGCGTGTTCAACATAGGCATTGAGCATGTCTGGTTATTCTGGTTACACTGAGCCATGCGGGCCGTCACCTCTACAGGAGACGGTTTCGAACGTGAGAGAGATCTCCCCGAGGTGTGAGAACAGACCAGCTCTGTTTCGCGTACCTTTCCATTTGAGCACGGCAGTCGATGGCTCCATTTCAGCATATCAAAAGCTGCACAACAGGCTATGATGAAGTCCATCCTACAAGCCCAACCAGGACGCCATCAAGGACAGCTTGCAGCACCCCGTGTGCACCTTGCAGGGCTTGGCGTTTAACAAGCCGTCCGTGTCTAGTAGTCGTAGTCTTGAAGTCGTATTGTTTGAATATGTCGTTAAGAAGGCTTCAATCACAGTGCAAACTCAGCCAGCTGTCATGAGCTACTATAGCACAAAGCGGGCAACGTACTCGTAAGGGAAGATCGAATTATTATTGTCATAGGGCCATTATCGCGTGCTATTGTGAAATCGGAGAGGACTGTGCTGAGCTACTCTGTGTTCTAAGACGCTAGAACTTATGTACGATAATTTCGCACAAATGCCATGCGAACCTGATGTAGCGCCCTCTGTTCTGGCCGCTACTTGCTTTTGAGTTTTGGTCGCTGATCAGGACGGGCGAGGTCACGCCGATGCAGCCTACGCTCAGAAAGGCCCGGGCCTTCAAATACGAAGTAGCATTACCTCGGCGATATGTAACGTCGGGGGAGGTTTGTGGTTTGTTTAAGGCCCTTAAGCCTTAAGCCTTATGTAGTTCCAGGAGTGCTGGTTTTCAGCTCGCTTCGATTCAGGCAGGGGCAGGGGTGCCCTCTCCTGCAGAAGAGGGCCTGCAGCTTCGGTGGAGTGTGGGAATGTATTACGCATCTAAGGAAAGCAGAGTTGTCGGTGTAGCGTGAAAGACCCTGCAATCTTTCCACAGTCGTTCGGGTTCGTGCAGCATCCGAACCTGGGTTCAAAAACGTCCTGTTAATGCGCTTGTGGAACGGCGGCTCTGGCGTTGATGCCTTTTTGTGCGTCTTTTTCGGTGCTGATGGCGCACTTGAGCTCGTAGAGCCCCATGCCGTTTGTAGTTTCAAGAAAAACTGATTCTTTCTTTGGGTCAAAGGGAGCTGTATGGTGGCACGGGGCACTGAACCTGAGGCTTGTGGCTGTTTCAAGCTGGGTAAGGCCCCCGCACTCCGAAATGAACCAGAAGTGCATCAATCTATCCAGCCCGGCCTACGACTACTACTCTCGGTTCAGTTTTTTTTTGTATGTATGCTTTATAATTGTAAGTCTGCATCCACGCATAGCTGTGCAGATGCCGACATGCTCAAATTGTTCACAAATGCAAGCTAGATCTCCCTTGCTCTGTTTGTGTCTCTATCCTTTTGCATTTTTTTCTTTTTCTTCGGGTACACTTGACAATCCAAATTCCCAACCAAGTCGCAGGAGGGATCCGCTGGTCGCGTGGTGGGGACCTCGATGTCCGGGGTGCGGTACAGGGCATCTGCCTTCTGCAGCGAGGGAGCGGCATATAGGGGCCTTAATAGGGTGTTGGGGTATACTATAATTATCACACGGAACCACCAAAACATTATGCACTTGGTGAGTTTGTTCCCTTGCCAGGGGTCTGGAGTTCTCGTGCGTGCAGTGCCCCGGCTGCAATGGTGGGGAGGTCAACACTGTCAGTGACGAGCTTCCAAGTTCCAGAAGGATGTTGAGAAAAGTAGGATCATGTTTTTTCTTGGTGGGCAGCCGAATGAAGGGGGGTGTGTACCATCCGACACTACATCTTGCCGGGTTCGGAAATGTGTTTCACAGGGGTTTAAAGTCTGGCCGTTGAGCCGGATGCCGTGCCCATCGTCGGGTATTGCTACTATTACTAATGCATCTGCCCCGTACCTCGGGTGTGGCTTGCGCAAACCAACTGGGGGAATTCGTTTAATCAGATTGAACCTGGCCACATGAATGTATGGCGCGGCCCCCCCTCGCAATGCATTCTTGTTTCTTCGGGCATACTTCCAGTGTCTAAGAGCATAGCAGCTGTGTCACCGAACCATCAGACTCATGAGTTTGCGAACCCTTGTGAGTCGCAAGTTGCGGAGCAGCTTTCCAAGTTGAAACAGCAGCACTTGATGGCATCTTTTGAGAGATACTTCTTGCTTTCTCTTGCACACGTTACCATGCCCTGACAGCCCTCCGGCGCGCTGGTCGACCAGGACCATGCTGCACACGATTCCGCGGCTAGTTTAGGTGCCAATCATGTAACAAACCTGGAAAGCTAAAACAATGAGAGATGGCTTGCGCAAGCTTTCGATATACGGTATGCTCGTTTTCGTGCTGCTTGGCCGAAGCAGCTCGGACTTTGCCCTGCCCCGCCCGAGGTTTTGTTGCACGTAGGATCCGGGGAACTCAAACCGCAGCACCTGCAGCAAGCTACTTGCACAGATCTCTTCCCTCTGCACACTCTGACACTGCATGTAAATCGCAAAACCTCGGGCCGAGCACTCTCTTCGTCACCACACCTTCTTCCCAGGCAGGGTAGTTCTGTTCTAAACTGGAGTGCAGGTCGTTGATCGGTCGGAGTACATATTTGGTCCGGTAGACAGCATCGGTTCATGTCGAATCGTACATTCGCCAGATCGTTTCTCACACGCTACATGTGGCCGCGAGCTGTTTTGGCGCAGGACTCGGGAAAGGTGGTTGTGCCAGCCCCAACAAGATGAGGCAATGGCCCCAGGGTAACTTGGAACAATTTTGGGTCCTCGATTTTCGGTCGTCAGGCAGCCTTTAAGACACTGTCGAGGGGCCAAGGTTTCAAGAGGAATGATGTGCAGGATTCGATCAGTGAGGCGCCAGTGTCAGTCAAAGGTAACCCTAAGACGTTGGGTCACCTCAACGCTAAAGTTCGCTAAAGGCAACATGACCTACCTGAATTCGGGACATAGACCGTGTGATACCGTGTGCAAGGCAGGCGAGCAAATTTACAAGAAGCTTGAACATGGAGAAACATCATCGTAGGAAAAGCAGCCTGTACGGACATCAGTGTGCAGAAGATGTTTGTCCGACGGCTTTGCTTGAGAGTTTCCGTTCTTGTCGAGTGGCGTTTATTGTCGTTTGGCCGATGCTTCTTACCTGCTTTCCTTTTGCCTTTCGAAGAGCTTCCCCACTCCTTTGATGGTAATACGAACCCTCGTATGTGATGCATCATGAGTCTTGAGAAGTTCCGCGCGAACTTTTCTTGGGAACGAGCACGCCTTTGTGAATCTTGGTTGCGCATTCTCGGCTGCATGAGGACGCACGCGGAGAGAGTCTGCAAGAACCGAGGAAGCTTGGAGATTTCCGTCGATCACCCAGATGCCATTCAGGTGTTGCTTGCTGATGGCCCTGGATTTGGATTTGCGGATGTTTGCATTCAAGAACTCTGCCTGCATGTCGTCGTTGCAGGTGGAACTGCCAACACACATAAGCAGTCGATACTTCCGATAGTCTAAGCACAGTGCTCGTCAAATTGTTCAGCACAGTTTTCAGTGGCGCCAAACCTTCAGGGTGCATCCTGTCAAGATGTAGGCCTGGGCACAATGCTTGCCCGGGCCGTTGGAGGAAGGCTCGCATCGGCCACACCGTGCATCCTAAATCACGCAGCATTTCTATCAAGTAGGGCAGCCAAGCCAAATGTCCAGAGGTGTGTCGGTCAGGGAAGACTGAAAGCCGAAGTTGGGCAAGCGTTGGAGGCTCCGTGTGATGATCTCACGGGCCGTCACTGGTTCAGGAGTCTGGGTTGGACAAGCAAGGAGACATCCCGCCTAGCCTGGCAATGTCTGCAACGCAATCTTGCAGGGTCCAGCGACTTCGTGGCCTAGAAAGGGACTGGCAGGATCTTCAGCGGGGTTGTCTGCAAGCGCACTTGGCTGTGTTTTGAGCCTGTGCGTTCGTTCACAGAGCCCTTCCATTACACTGCTCTAGCTTTGACCAACCCAGCAGAAATTCAATGCAAAGCGGCGTCGGCTGCCCCAACCTACTAAAGGGAATGCAGAACTGGGCTGTAGATCTGCAGAACGTTGTGCAGATGACTCCCGATCAGTAGCCTCAATTTGTTGTTTCGTTGTTTGTGTGGTTGCCTATCATTGTAGTATGGAACACTCGTGAGCGCGACTGTGGCAGCCAGCCGTGGAAGGGCTTTGAATTAGAGCCTTTCCCCGAATGTAGGGACCCACGGCGGCTGTCGGTCAAAAAGGCCCAGGAACATGCGGTACTAGGCGGTACGGTTCTGGGTGGGGACGGAAGAGGGAGTATTGGCATCTGTACAAACTGGAAAGAGACGTGATGCAGCGTTTTTACATCGCACTCTTGTGAAGCTGTTCCACATTTTTATGGCCAAGCCGCAAAGTTTTGAAGCAAAGTGGCATCAATTGCAGGAATTCCTGGTCTAGGATCAGGAAGAATGGCCACAACGGCCAGCAGCAGTGGCAGTAGCAGTAGCAGCAGCAGCACCACCACCACCCGTCGATATCATCCGATCGGTGCTGGATGGTAAAACATACTTCCGATATCTTCACACTCTTGCCAGTAGTGGGCAGCAGTGGACAAGCAGGATGCAGATGGCAACGGCCTCTTGATCCTGATCGGCCGAAGGGACAGCAACGCCATGGCCGTAATTGGCGAGATGCAGATCCAGAATGGCGGTCGTCTGATGCAGGTCTACATCACAGACGATTCCAACCTGTCTGCTGATTTCATTGGCGAAGCACTGGAGTGGAATCCCCCCTTAGCAAGCCACACGCATCATTGGTATCAGATCGGGCCGAGCATCCACACATTGACAGAGGAGGAGACCCTCAAGATCTGCAGCAACGGCATCGTCATCTGCAGCAAGGTGGCAGTCTGAAATTCCGACCTTTGACCTATCTTAGTGCCCGTAGCCACGAATGAGCCACGCACTAAGCCAAGCACACTCAGACACGGGGTAGGGATTCCGGCGAGCACTAGGCAAGCGCTGGATAGAGCAGGTCACGAAACCTAGAAGGCAAGAAACATTGGCGTGCCATCGAACAATACCAATGTCGGCGAGAGTGCATCGGTTCCGTCGGCTCCTCGTCGATTCCTCTTAGCATCTCTTGGCTTGCTTGACGTGCATCCTTGAAATCTCTCGCTGTAGACTCTGGGCCCTGGCTACTACTGTCTTGTCTGATGCGAAATCAAGCGCCCGACGGCAGTTGGCAATGTCTGAGAGGCTGGAGATCAGTTCCAGATGCTGGGGGAGGTGATGGTGGACCCACATGCGGAGAGCCGACATAGCTTGAGCCCTGTCTCCTATGAGAAGCGATCCTTTGGTACCCTGGCTGCCTCGGTGCAAGTGCTGTGGAAGTTGGTGCACCTGCCCGTTTACCCAAGGCATCATGGCTCCATTCCGGGCTCTAGCATCGGTGATCATCGTTGGCTTCATGTCCTTCCCGCTGCTTCTGGGTATGGTTTTGCTTGAACATGATGCAGAAGACCGTGGCACCGCACATGGGCTGGAAGTTGTAGCCCACACTGCCAGCTCAGGAATAAGTGTGTCTCTCGTGCCATTTGAGGACAGCTGCTGGTAAGTTGCTTGCTGAATAATTTGCCATGTCCTGAGGCGTGGTGGCGGCCACTCAATCATCTGATGGTGTACGGTGGCTGTTTGCGCCTGCTTCTTGAAGCTTGGTGCACTGGCCTCGGCTGCATGAGCGGCACCGCGCGTGAAAGCGTCGCTGCAGGCTCGTGTCTTGAAACTCTCCGGTCTGGGTCTGGGTTTGCGGGGGGGTCTTTCCTGGCCCAAGCTCGGCCTGAGGAGGTGGAGTGAAGACTTCTGGGACTTCCATGTCGTAGAATTGTTATGTCATTGTATGTCTACGTACCAATAATATGACATATGTATATGCTGGCTTTACTACATATGCATATACATTTTTCATATATAAATATAAATGTAAATAAATAAACAAATAGATACATAAATAAATACATATATATATATATTTATGGTAACCCCCCACGGACCACCGACCCTCGTTTTGTATCGTAGATACCGTGTTAAACCAGCTTTTCCGGCAGGTCCGGATTCCGCGTCTCTCAAAGACTGCAAAAACCAAACTCACATTTCAAGAGAAAGCGCCCGTTAACTCGTTCAGGTTCGACGGGAGCACGCACTCAACCGCAACACGACTCTTCCATTCAAAAACCAACCGCCAGGCACCTCGGTCAGGTTCGACGTGAGCACGCAGTTAACGGCAACACTGTACTCTTCCAATCAGAAACAAACTTTTCCCTAGGAAAGCCATTTTTTGGAGAAACCATGGGTTTAGGGTTTAGGGTTTCGGGGTACTGTCGTTTCCCTAACAATGCCACCAGGTTTGCGGTCCATCACTTACCTAGTCGGGGGAAGCGTCGACCTCGATTATGGGGCAAGCACCCAAAAGTCTGCTTAGCCGGTGTCCCGGTGTTCTGTCAAGTTGGGTTGGTGTACCGGTCGTGTCGTCCCAGTCGTCGAGAACAATACCGTCGCGAAGGTGCACACAAATACACATCTTTTGCGTCCTCTTGTACGTCAAGAAACACAACAACCTTGTTCGCCAGAACAAACTTCTGCATCTCAATGCCGTCAGTGATCGCTCTGTGGCCGCCAGGGTGCTGCACATCCTTCGCGAGCCTGCCTGCATCCATCCTGTCTACAACAAGCCCGCCAACAATGTCATCCTCAAGAGGAAGTGAGGGAACGAGAGAAACAAATCGAGGGAGACCGCAAGATGTCACTCGGCCAACATCACATGCCAATAGTATCACTCCCGTCGTTTGGGCTGATAAATCATCCTAAACTTTCACTCCCTCCCAAAAAGGTCCGCAAGAAGCGGGCGGGCAATGGGCCTGACTAGCCCCTTAGGCGGACCGCACGACTGGCGTTAATCGTCGCAACAAAGCGCCTGGATGAGATCTAGGATAACAGGCAATGTCGAGAGGAGCGAAGAGACTTCTTTCGGACCGATTCCGTGCGTTTGTATTTGTAAGTTGTACGAAATTCCTGTTAAGGTGCAGAGCTTCGCACCGATCACCCGCCTGTCATAGAAATCAAACTCAAGAACATGCTGCAGACGTGTGTGAGGGACGGCTTGGATGGCAAGTCCTCGGGCTATTGACGATTTTAGGCGATGTGTTCGCTTGGGTGTGGAACTCCTTTCGAGCTTGGACGTCTGTTCCGTATTCAAGTTGCTGGACGAAAGAAAGGCCTTTTTTTATACCTGCCGTAGCGATACTACTACTATTACAGCTACTACTACTACTACTACCACCACCACAACTACTACTCCTGCACAAACACACATGCATGTATGTATGTATGTACGTATGTATTAGTGTGTATATATATATATATTTATTTATTTAGATGTATATTTATTTCTGTGCATGTATATATATATATATATAATATGTGTGTGTATATTTATACACACATACACATGTTTACAGCCAACACTGCACTGGGGCCAACACACACACACACAAACACACGCACGCAAGCAGGCAGGCAGGCAGGCATGCCTGCATGCATGCATGCATGCATGTATGCATGTGTGCGTGTGTGCGTGTTCACTGCAGGTACGCTTGCATGCATGTATTTATGTACGTATGTATTTATGTGTGCATGTCTGTATGTATGTATGCATGTATGAATGTGTTTATGTACTTGTTTGTTATTTTTTCAGTCTTTTGTTTCAGCTTGCAGCATGAACTTCCGAAGGGTCCAGTCTTGTCCAGAACTCGGCATGCATTTGTAGCAGAGCTTAGAAAAGTCGAGACGGACATACAACTTTTCGGATCAATTCAATGCAGTCTTGTCATTTGATGCCGTACACAGTGCCACCAAGTCAGCGGCAATGAGTAGTTTTGTCCCGCAACTGACGTTGGTCTTTGCTTCCGACAGCTACGCCACGTTGTCACTTTGTACAGGTGTCATTTCGACTGTCCTGCCGTGTTTCGCCATCTTCTTGGCGCCATGGCCCGAATTGTAACTACAAGTAAATTCAATCAAAGAGCCTGCAAATCCTGACCCGGATTCGAAAGATTGCTGGGCTGCTTGTCTGTTCCAGATGAGGCACCTGGAACTTTCTCCACTTTCAGTTACTGCGTCGTCTCAACGATTCTCCTCTCCGGGGCCAACGTGGGCACCTGTGTTTGGCAGCGCGGTTTGCGAGGTGCCTTGAAGGGACGCGTATGGACCAGGTCATGCAAGCCACAAAATCATGCCAGAATACCGTGCTGCATATGCAGCTGCAGAGCCGAAAAGACAGCTTCCGCATCCCTGTTTTTTGTGGTGAGGTGCGTTCTATCAGCTCGCATGGGAGATCCCGTGGTTGTGCTTGACATTTGGTGCCTGGGTTGTGCTCTACGGGATCGCCGTTCTGCACGTTCAGATCGACCAGGTATCTAAGGTTGCAAGTGCTTTCTTCCTGCCGCTGTCGACGGCGACCCTGGAGCTTGGAACGATTGCATCTGCCACTGCACTGTACAATCACCGCGTCTTCAAACTTCGTGCATCGGAGCCGAGCTCAGAAAGCACTGTGTACTCTCCCAGAATACTTCCAACAACCAAGTGATGCACATGCCGCATGTCTGCACACATGACGTGGTCATGTTGTAAGAACACTGGCAGGACAACCCGGTCTGGGGCGATCAGGCAAAGAGCACCTTACCCGTGGTTCCTGTCGCGATCCATGCGTTCACGGAGACCTGCAGGCTCGTCACAGGCTTTTGTGGCCTCCTTGAATCGACATTCTGTTCAGATGCAGATTAAATGATTAGAGTGGCATAGAGAGGCCGGAAGTCCAGGGGACGTCAGCAGCTGCTGGGCTGTTGAGTTCTCACCACCAGCGTGCGTGCGGTAATGCCTACACTGTAGGAATGACGAAGTAGAGTCAAAGTGACCAGAGGGAGTCAGGAAGTGCTACAATGATTTATCGCGACAAGCTCAAGGAGGGCTGTGCGCGCAGTTCCATGGGTCCTGTAACATTGACTCGGGATTTTGTATACTGCCAACTTGCCTATTCCAAAGATCCAAGCGCAGCCGGCCATGAACCAGAGTCGTGCATGCGACCTTTGTGACATCCTGTTGCCGAGATCCTGCAGAGACTTGTGCAGGTTGGTGTCGGTGCTGGCTTCGACAGTCTATGACGGCAGCAGCTACTTCTGGATCTTCACGGGTCTGCTGTCGCTGGTCTTGCAGCCTGCCAGGAAAGAGGTTCCAACGCCGCCCCCTCCCCAACCGAAGCTTCGCAAAACTTAGGAACGTGATGAACCGGCAAGGTTGGAGCAGATTCCTGGTGACCAAAACGATCACGCGTTTCGGACTACGACCTCAAGCTGTGCTTGGTTGCACCGCGCCGACTGCCATCAGTCGACTTCATGATGTTGCAAAGATCAGCTGCGGGTATCCCCGGATGAGTGCTCCAGTGGTTCTGGGTTTGGTTCAACTGGTGACAGGCCATGGGTTCTACCGATCCACCAACACTGTGATAGCAGTTGTGGTGATTCTGGTTTTTGAAATGCTCGAGGACTGCTTTCACCACTGGGAAGTCTTACCGTTCGCGCCGCTACCCATGGCAGCTGCTGAGTATTTCGCATCGCTTGACAAGTATTCACCATACCAGAGCACCGTCCCAGCCACTGCAATAACAAGCAGCCCTACCACCGTTGGTGGCGGACTCCCCAGCTCAATCGGCATGTGCGATGCATCCCCCAAGTCCACCACTGAAGTCGAGGTGAGCCCCATCGCGAGTGAACTCAGCACGGGCTCTCATACCCCTGTTCGGGGGCGACGAGTCTCGATCAGCAGTGCAGTGAGTGTGGGTGGAGTGGAGACGGGTGTGTCCGGCAAGGTTCGGAGATGGTGGGGCCAGGATCTCAAGGTTCACACTGCACTTCGCCTCTGGCATCTGAGAAGTTGGCTCGGGCCCCAAGTGACTGAAGCACGATGTCACTCCGTGACCCTAGTGTATGTTTGGCTATGTCTGTCAGGGCCTGGACGTGGATCAGGAAATCTGGGTACTTGAATCTTTGGAGTCCCGTAGGAAGCTGCTGGCGCCCCATGCACTGCCAGATCAGGATAACAGGGGGACAAACTTTCAAACACTGGCTCGAAAACACGGTCTGGGAGGGAGAGGAGGGAAGTGGTGGAACCAGGATGTATATACCAGTCAAGGCATCTCATGAACCAGCATCAGAGCATTTTGTCTAGCGCTGTGTTCAGGTCATGGCCGGTGACCTTGAGTATGATTTGGATCATGAATGTCTACATAATTTGTTGCTTGGAGCTCCTGCTCGGCCCGGGTTACCTCCGGGGCCTATGTCCTGAGCCGACATCGAGGCAGTCTTTCAATCCGAACCTCTGGCAGAGCTATCCTTTGAGCTGCTGAATGTTCTCTGTCCTCTGCGGCAGTAGAATTGCCAGAAGGTGGGGTTTTCTTGCATCGCTTTGCCACCAATTGACTCTTGACCTTTTTCAAGCCTTTCACGAAAAGTGTGCACGACCGAGTCGTGCAGCGGCAGTGGTCTGTCTCGTCCAAGGCACGCTACATAGTTTTGGCGATGCATCCACGAAGTGGCATGCAGGCGAACAGTAGAAGTTTGCCGCCTCGGGAAACGAGTGGCGCGGGTGAGGGAGGTTTCAACTGTGAGATCAGGTATTGTTTCGTTCCGAAAAGGCCGTGCGTCCGAAAAGGCCGTGCGCAAGGTGCGATATGTAGAGGCTCATCGTTGTGAGCTGTGTAGGATGTCTTTTGCTTGCATTTGGCTCTGCACACTGACCCATGACATAAACAAGCGGCAGCAAGCCTACAACCACAAGGTGTGGGATCCGGACAGATCTTTAAGCTGCGGCTGGATTGTGGTCATACTCCTGATATGAAGAAAATCTCAGGTGTTGCCTTGCAATCTCAGCGGCAAGCCTCAGAAATTCAACGCGCATACTTCATGTTGGGCCTGCAGCGCGACTGTCTGGCTCTAGCCTTTGGGCACAACGTGAAAGCACGATAGGTGACGTGGACGATTCAGCCCATGTCTACATTGCAAGACACGGCCATGAACAACCACATACTCACAGCTACCATCATTATAGGGGTGATTGCTCAAGTGGATCACTTTAGCAGCATGTTTGTACAGAAGCGGGTGCATGCAATCCCCTTGTGTGCAGACTAGCTAGCTTCGGAAATGTAAACGTGCGTGTTCGCACTAGCAGTGGACGAAGGTAGATGACGAAGGGCACTTGTTTATGTTGGCTTGTGTGATCTGGTGGTCGGGTCCCCAGCATGGAGACGGAGCCTGGTTCACATCAAATCTATGGAACCCTTGGCCTTCCAGATGCTTGTGCAATTTGCAGGTTGGTTCTGCGCCTTGTCGGTGCTCCCGTGCCCTGCAGTGCTGCTCTCATCATGAAACCTCGTGCCCACGATGCTTCGCAGAAGCGCCGGCACCATGTGCGGACATGTGCTTGAATTGGATCGGCAGCTTTTGGATGTATCCGACCTTGTCAAACCAAGAACCAACGTTGGCAGAGGAAGTGCAGGCCATGGGCTGTGGACAGGCACCATTTCCACATGTAATTATGTGCACGAGGGCTTTGCAAGACAGGTCGGCGATGTCGTTGCATTGGTGGGTCCAAGTCGAACTATCCTGCACCTGGAGTCGCAGGAGCAGATTAGACTCAAAAAGTCTCTTCTCCCGATGATAAACCTCCCCTTCCCCCCACAGCAACAAAACAAGGGATTTTCACCCTGAAATAGGGTTGAGTATTTGGGGGTTCTGTCTTAGCATCTTCACTTGTGTCCTGGATGTATTCTAGACCCTTCCTTGGGCACACTCTGCAGTCCTACATTCCTGCCTTGCTGCAACCTGCGTTCAGTCCTACGTACCTGTGGGCCCTGTTGGCAGCAGTTCTTGCAATCAACTCACACATACGTTCTGGTACACACGAGATCTTGCAATCGTAAGGTTTCGGATGCGAAAGAAAGAAAGAGAGAGAGGCAGAATGATTTGGTCTTCCCCTACACCATAGCCCTGGCGAAAGAAAAGAGAGAGATCAGCATCCACGGATGGCTAACGTGGGAACGAAAGAGTCCTGGCTTGCGTGTACACATACCGTGCGGAGAGAAGAAAACTGCGGAGCGTTGTCAGGCCACTGGTCCCGCGCCCTCGAAGAATTTCGACGACTGGCAGAGGCCTTTTAATGATTCTCGTGCATTTTCTGAAACACCACGCCTTTTGTCATCTTCTCCTGACACTCTGTGCTGCTGTATTTTGCTTGGCCCTCTGCCCTCAGAGATCAATTAGAGCCGGCTCATGCTAATGCTCCGACACTGAACCTCAATGCATGTCTACGATGCCTCCAGCGAGCCGCGCAAGTGGCTTCATCTGTGCAATTGTGGTCACTTCAGTGGCTGTTGGAGGCAGGGTGTATTCAGTTTATTGACTTCAGGGTTAGTTTAGCCTGGAGCCTTAGAGAGTTTGGAGTTCAGGCTGTGAGACCCAGTCTTTATGGCACTGGCTTTCGGTTGCTATCTAGGCATGTAAGGGTGAAGCCAATGAGAATAGGGGATTTAGCAGTTCTGTTGATTGAGCACTTTCGCAGGAACAGGTCCATTGTGGCATCTCTTGAGAATGCAGAAGCCTTCCTCAAAGCCAGTGTCGGAGATTACCGTTTTGCTTGGAGATCCTTAACACGAGAGCCTTGAATTCCGAACTCAGAATGCCACCAGAGGTGCAGCTAAGATTGCTGCGACCCTCCAAGAACTGGATGATCAGTGCGCCCTGCAACTCAAGACGACGGCTTCTCGGAGAATTGCAAATCCGCTTTCACAAACTAGATAACCGCTGCACGTGTGTAGGAGGGCTGTAGATGACCGCAACCCGACATTTCGGCAGAGCAGCATGCAGAACCTGCCAAGGCACCACTGCGAGTTGGAATCTTCATGACTACGCATTGGAGCAACCTGAAGTGCTTAAAGCTTAAAGGTCAGTTTCATTCTTACTTCGATGAATGCGTGACGGCCTACGACAGTCCTTACTGTTAAGCTTGCAGAGGTACACTTCACCAGCAGTTCATGCCTTGCTGGGAAACTGCACGACAGCAGCTCACCCTAGTCCGAAATGCGGACCTCATACTGTATACAAGTGGGAATATCGGCAGCAAGGATCTGGAGAAACTTGGTTTCGGCAACCTCACCATCAAGCACTACAAGCAAGCAAAGTATGAGGAGGGCGCCATTCAAGCCACGATTGATGCGTTTGGGTCCAAAGGGCAGCAAGAGAAATGGTTCGACCGATATGATTGGGTGGTGAGGCTCAATCCGGACGTTCTAATCATGGATGACAACTGGCTGCTGGAGACGATGGGGAATTCGTCTGTCGATGCCATCTTTGTAGACTGCGTCGGCCAAATCAACACGGACTTTTTCGCTGTCCGCCCACACGTCATTCAAGCCAATTTGGCAGATTCCTGCACATCGGGCCCCGGTGACACGAACGCCGAGACGCATTTCACTTGCGTTGTGTCAACAATCATCTCATCGGGCCGTTACGTTTGGGCGACTCAGAAGATCTCAGAAGCCTTCCTGTTACGTGTTTCAGTTAAGGTCCTAAAGTGTGCCGTACATTGCACCGCCCAATCTTGACACGATTCATGTAGACTGAAAACAGTGGAAGGGCTTGAAGGTCAAGGTCTCTCGGCGTGCCGCGAGCTTGAACCCCAAAACCTCAGGTCTTCCGGCCTCGAAGGTCCCAAAAGGCCCACCGAAATGGAGCAAGTCGTCGCAGAGATGGTTTAAGTTACTTAAGGAACTATGCCTTCATTCGAGGGGTCTGACCCGAAGAGACAGGTCAAAGGCGCGCAGAACATTGGTGGATGTCGCGTGGCGGGAGCCGAATCGCCGGTTGTACACGAGCATGGCTTTCGAAAGTGCTGCCCAGATTATCTCTCGGCGCAGGCTCGGGCCCGGGTAAAGGTTCCAGGTTCCGACTTTGGAGTTGGGAGGCTCAGAGTGTAAAGGTGTCAGTGTGCAAGATTTCCCGTGTTTTAGGGTTCTTGAGGCACTGCACTGTGAAATAGCTGCGAGTCTAGAGATTATGCAAAACTTCTCAGTGTGAGGGACGTGCAACTACAACCAGGTCCAGCACCACAAAATGGTGTCATAATTAGCCCACAAATCCATGAGCTGCCAAGGCCAATTGCTCAAGAGTTCCGGTGAAGCACAGCCAAAAGGATCTGCTCCAACTCAGCTCCGAGGCCTATTCGGAAGTTCAGGGCTCAGGTTGGACTCAAAATCGGACTCAACCCTGACAACCACCGAAAATACAGCCGTGAGTGTCGTAGCTTCCCTCAGGGATCGACTGCAAATCACATTCATTAGCTCAGCAGCTGATGTGGAAGTTGAGTTCACGGAATGGTTTTGGCAGCCCAGGCTGACGGCTGAACAAATGCAGTTGTAGACGTTGCGTCAAAGAGGGCTCGTGCACACGCTGATCCGATGAGGAATGCCACGCTGCGCCCCTGCGTTCTCATAACCTTGTTGTGTACAGTGTCAACATTGCGCTGTTTTTTTGACTGCTGAATCCGAAAATTCAATCTGCAGTGTGACAGGAGAGGTCTGTCGAGACGCAAGAGCAAGCCGGGCAGCAGAAGCAAGAAATGGGGAAAGATAAGTCGAATAGCCCTTGCACGTCTTCTTTACCTTGTGCATCAGATACTTATACCTCTTTCCAGCTTTTTGCTTGCATGCTTGTTCACCTCTTTGAGCTGGCGATATCCAACTGATCCGGCAAAGAAGACAAAATTGCACCTCCATGTAGTTCTTGTCACTGGAGAGGCATAGCGCCCAGCGACAACTTGGCGGTTCAGAGAGGGCCGGCTGCCTCGAACACCGAGGATTGGACCTGAGGTTGCTTCGGTTCTTGTTCTACGTACTTGTAGTTTTTGTTTAGACCGAATCGTGGTTTACAGGATGCATACAGTAGACGCACCACATGTCTGTTTGTGTGTATATGTGTGATGCTGAACCCAGCACTGGCAACACTTCGAGCATCGCGAAAAACTATCTCCATGAGCCATCCACGCAACCTTTGATCCTTGAGAAAACGCACGCTGTTCAAAGCAATATCGACATTCACACACAGCGCAAATGCTTGAAAATGAGTGCTGGATCGGCACGATTCAACACAAACGCAGGTGCGGTACAGTTTCAGTTGGTTCGGATTATTTCAGCACCCTGTTTCGTGTGCTGTTCAGCAACTCTCCAACTAATAATCGCTGGCAATATCGCCGCACCTAGGCACCTACATATGTCGTTAGCTTGTCATTGACAGGTCCTCCCTTGCAATTCATACTATGAGTTTAAGTGGTGTCACGCCATCCATTGCGTCCCAGCTTCGTACCAGCCACCACTACGGATGCCTTTCTTCATGCCAGACTATGCTTTGCTTGAGACTTCTTGGTGCCTTTAGTCTTTAAAAACAAAAACGGCCATGCTGGAGCACCATTGGAGTATAAAGACGAAAATTGGTGTCACTTGCTTTCAGCATTTGATCCAGGACCTTGTTGTCCTTTTCTTTTTGCTCTCCACCGGGGAAGAAGCTGCAGGAGGCACGAGCTCGAACGGTAAGAGCTGCATCCTCCTGTGCGCTGAAGTGTTGGTTGCCCGAACGCAGATTTAGTTTGCGAATGCCTGGCCATCAGCCTCCAACTCGCTGCTCAAAGGATGATTTATGTTGTTGTGTCTCTCTCTAGCTTGAGCCTCCTGCACAGGCAAAGCTCCATAGGTCTGGGACAGATCAGCTGTGCTTGCGCGTCGGATGCCGGAGGAGCGTTCAGAAGATTGCTCCGAGAATAAAGGTTAAGGTGTTGACGTTGCAAAGAGCCCACAGTGAAAGTCTGATTCGTGCGAACACCGGCAAGTCAGGAACGTTGAACCTCTTGCCACACATCATTCCACTGGCAACGAAAGTACAACTTGCCCGAACACGCGGAGAACGGCACCGGCACCATATCGTTTCAATGCAGGGTAGGAAAAAGCGGAAGTCCACAAGCTCCTTTCTTGTTTTGCCACTACGACTTACCCAGTGCATCGACATATACATATATATATATGCATACATAGGCATGTGTGTGTGTGCACATGTACATGTACATGTACATATACAAATGCATATGCATGTACATATACATACATGCATACAAAAGGCTAGGGAACCAGGTGGTCAAGTACGTACGTGTCTCCGTGTTCTTGAGTATACCTTTGCTACTTTCTTATTTGCGCTTCTGTGTGTGTGTGTGTAGTTGTCTTCGTAGGCTTAGCGCTGTGTTTTGTTCGTGATCGTTCCACCGTCGCCACCGACTCTTGGTCGGTTCATGTGCATGTCCGTCGTAGATTCCGTCGTAGATCAAGGGCGCTCGCACCCACACCCGCACACACAGGCAGGCGCAGGCAGGCAGGCAAACAGACAGACAGACAAATAGACAGACAGAGAGACAGACCGGCCGGCCGGCCGGCCGGCCGACATGCAGGCGCATTATATATATATATGTGTATACACACACCCACCTACACAGAGACACATGCGCACACACCCAGGCACACACAGAGACTGGCAAACGGACAGCCACTTGGATTTTTCACGATTAGATTGCCAGACCTGGGTAACTGAATGTTTCGATGTCATCTGATCCTGAGTGTGCCTTTGTCTAGTACTGATCAGTCTTGACCCAGGCCTCTAAGAGGTGCGTACTCCCTTGCAGACGAGGCAAAACGGTTGCGAAGCAGTCAAAGAGTACAAAACTGATTGATCTTGATTTCACAAGCAGTCATCAGTTAATCTTTGTGCCACAGAGGGCCCATCCATTTAGAGGCACAGAACCGGAGTTGAAGACGAAAGCTTGGGCTGGAGGCTTGGGATTCACATGGACTTCGGAAGCGATTTCGACAACTGCTGCTGCTGGTTCCTCCTGGTTCAGGCTAAGGATGGATATGACAACGCAAAATGGTCATGAAATCATGAAGCGCAATCTGGCGAACACAGCGTCTTCATTAATGTGCGGTAGGTACCCCCGAAAACAGCGAGATTCTTCTTTGCGGATGCCCACAACTGTTTTCATCAATTATGCAGGCTCGATGTTCATTACCGCTCTTTCCCAGAATCTTAAGACTCGCCCTTCCCCGTGAGATCATCACCGCAGCAGAAACAAAACCAAGCTAGATAATTGCTGGAATCTCAGGATCGTCGTGAACATGCCAGCCAACGACGGAAGTCTGGGCACAGGGTCAACAAATTCAATGAACTATGGGATGCAAAACCCGAGGCCATCACTGAATCTAGTGGAGCAATCAGTGTATGCATATACACACACACATATATATATATACACACATACATACATACATACATACATACATACATACATACATACATACATACATACATACATACACACACATGTTTATGTTTCTACATACATATACATATACATATACATATACATATACATATACATATACATATACATATACATATACATGTACATATACATATACATGTACATATACTTGTACATGTACATGTACATGTACACATACACATACACATACACATACACATACACATACATATACATATACATATACATATACACATACATATACATATTTATATATATATATATAGATATAGGGGCCACTCCACCCAAGATCTACGCTTGCAGGCCTCATACCATCTCATGCTTACTTACACATACGTGCACACTAGTCATAAGCACAGAAAGGATCGTAGATATCGATATAATCGCTTTTATCCTCGAATGCATACAGCCGTGCTGCTACATGTCTTGTTTCGATACATCGATAATTCTGCAGCCGAATGTCGGCCACCAAAAATAACACTTTATGTATTCGGAAAGCCGAAACTGTCGGAAGCTATTGCACGTTACTTGATGTGGTATTAAAACACATCGCGTTTGTTTTTTGTATTTTTCGGTTGTGAACGAACTGTAACTGTACATCCCGGGAACTGTGTATCTTTTTCAGCGAGCCCGGGGGCTACGGGGGGTGCGGTCTGTGTTCAATGTGGGACTGCAGCAATCCCCAAAAGCGGTCGATAATTTGAGTGCCACTCTTGACTTTGATCTGGTCTCCGGTGGGCAACTTGTTCCAGATTGACAGGCCTCATGACTCACGGTTCCAGATTCCCGATTATCAGATTTGCACGCTCCGGGGCCCCAAGTGTCTAAAGATTCCAGATTTCCAGATTGACAAGGCTCATGACTCAAGATTCCAGATTCCAGATTTCCAAATTTGCGCTCCCCAAGTCTCTAGAGATGCCAGATTTCCAGATTTACACGCTCTAAGTTTCCAGATTCCCGAGTTGCGAGGATTCACAAAGTTAACAGAGTCCAGGTTTCCAGATTCCAGAATTACGGAAATCTGGAATCTGGAAATTTGGAGGGCGTGCAAATCGGGAAATGTGGAATCTGGAAACCTACGTCCTGCAGAAGGCCGGCAATCAGGAAATCCAGACGCTGGAAACCTGCTGACATAAGGCTTGGGGGGGCGAGCATCTATATCTATATCTATATCTATATCTATATCTATATATAGAATATAGAGAGAGATATGTATATCTTATGTACAAACATACGTATGTCTATGCTGAGGTGGTGAAGACGCTCTGGGTATCGGAAGACAGGAGTTGCAGTCCCGTCTAAAGTTTGACCGAAATGAAGCTGCCCAGGATTGGAAGTGCGACCTTGCCACTGGTGCGGGGAAATGCGAATAAATTAGATGATGCGCACGAAACAGTATCGCAGACAACACAGGCCGACCACACCAACCGCGAAAAAGCAGAAGGATCTCAACACGGGCCAGATCATCTCACAAACCGAGCTTGTTTTTACGTGACCACTGCTAGTCGCGAAGAATACCACATCATATGTCATAGGTTGTCACATGTTTCGATGCCCAATCGAAGTGGTGCTGCTAGGGCCGCGCCCGTCTTTCTCGTAACACCATCAAACCCACAGCACATGCAAGCCCCTCCGAACCGCTTCGAGCCAAACTTGGCAATCCCCAAGACTCTAACCACCCTGGCTCCCGAAGCCCGACCCATCCGGCAGAAACATCCAAACCGCCAAGATCGTGAGAATTGAGTTCCCTCTTCCGCAGTGTCGGATCTCGGTGTATAGAGTTTTGGAACGAAGCTCCGGACTTGAAATCTTCAATCATCTTTCTACCCAGTCCCTTTAAGAAGCCTGTGAGCATTGAGGGTTGCAACCCAGCGGCTCCGTCAGCGTCCCAAACTTATACTGTACTCCTCCCTATGAGCCAAGCGTGTCGAAAGCAGGCACCATCCTCTCGATCGATGCAGCTGCGAAGAGAAGTGTCCATAGTCATGAGTCTCAGCTTCTTGGTCTGCGCAGACTGTACGGTTTTGGGGATGTCTGCAAGGGGCATCGCACATCACTGCTTGGACCAAGAAATTGAGGGCATGTTCTGTTGCGCCCACGTGCATACAGCTTGCATATATCTCCCATTCAGTAGTGCCGCTTTGTGTCCAGAGGCTCTTGTCAGGCCGGCACCTGTACAGACCGCCTCGAAGAGTACGCATGTGTCCCGAGTCATCAAAAATGTTGCTCCATGTCTAGCCTTTCGTCAAGACAATCACAACCACGACAGCATATGTTTGCTGCACGCAGACCGACTTGCCATTTGATCATCCGTTCATGATCAGCAACCAACGCAGGATGCTTGCATGCTTGTATGTATTTCCGTTTGTTGTTTTGTCTTGCCGTTGTTGCTGTGGTGGTGGTTGTGTTGCTGCTGCTGCTGTT